AACTAACTGAATATGACAGACACGAAAAAACATGGGTTGTTAAAACTTCGCGGCGCTTGCCGCATGATTCGCTAAAAATCTGCAATCACGTGATCTCGATGGAGGGGTGCAGGGAAGAGGATTAACGGACGGACAATGAACGGGCGATCCTGCTTGAATGGCGTGCTGAAGCGTACTCGAAACCGAGCCGAACAATTCACGCGTAATTCTCGTAACTGCGATATTCGCGTTTCACTGCGATTCCCGTCTCGACGAGGTCGGATTTGGCTTTCCTGCCCGTTTTCAAAGATCTTACTCAAGGCTCTCAGCGTGAATCGCGGAGAATTCGATTCATACATTTTACAAAATAATAAATTTTTATTCTTACATTCCATTCGACGTTTCGCCTCCCTTTTCAACATTATCTTATATAATTATTTTAATTGTCATGTTAACCACTTGAAAGCAGAATGGAATGATATAACGACGATGTATAATATAATCGGTTTTAATTTTAACACGCGTGATATTTATTATACAAGCCGAAGAGAAACAATACTTTTCGCCTCTCTTATAATGCCGTGTACACACTTTTCATGTTAATTACTTAAAGAAAATCTTAAAAATTATATGCGTTGCGGCGTGGGGAGGATTAGGTAATTAATCCTGTGGTAATTATAGTGACGGGAGAAAAAATAAAAAGAAATAAGGCTCACAATCTATATTTATAGTGCCACCTCAACCACCGCGGGACACCCGGTACATGTTGCATTAAGCGCCGCGCGACGCTGCCCCGCGACTAATTGGGAGCGGTTAATGAGGTGACGCATTTTTATTGTTCTTCCGGCTTGTTAAGCGACCTGTTTGCTTCCGTAACACGTACGCCGGGAGCCCCCGGGAAGGCACAGGGATAGCCGGGAATCCCGCGGATATCCTGAAATTGTCCCGAATACCTCGCGCGAATCCCGGAAACGCCGGCGGAATATTTTTCGCGGCTTTGCCGACCCGGCGGATTATCGACATCGGCGCTACACACGTGCGTTTATTCGCACACGCGTCTCCGTTTAAATAAACGGAGCCGAGCGAATTCATAATTAAATCGGCTTGATAAATAGAAATAAATGGGTGGCAAGACAGTGGCGTTATCAACGGACACGCCGAGTGAAATAATTCAGCTCGTAAAATATTATGCGGAAGATGAGTCTTACACAGAAAATGAATTAACCTGCCGAGTAATATTTTCGAATGAATTAAGTTGGAAAGTTAAATCGCGTCAAAGACACACGGCGGTTATGTATTCTTTCAAAATATGAAGGGTATGCGATGTCTGTGATTGGTTCCGTTTTAAAATATTATAATACCTCCTTGCAAAAATAAATATTATATAACTGTTAAATATTCTGTTAAATGTTTTAATTCAATGTAACAAATAACAAACACACAGAGTTGTATAAAGGTTTGAAAATGTACAAACATTTGTCAAGTTAGAAATATCGAAAAATTGTAATAATATTCTAATAAACAGACGCAAACGCAAGGCTATATTGGTTTTTATGTAGAACTAAATGATCTGTTTGTTAAAACTGAATTGACCTCTTCATCGCTGATTGGTATGCAGTTTTAAATGTTACTTTAATCACCCTTTTAATATAGAGTTTCAGCCTTGCTGATTCACATATATAATTGATATTTCCTACTTTTGTGAGTCAAATCATTTCTGCATAAAATTGTCTATTTAAAATTCGCTCTATCTTGTCCTAGCATTATTATAAAAGTCGTTTAACATGTTATGACTGTGTATATACAATACATCCCATAGAACTGGAACAGCTGCATATATCGAGAACAATAATATAAATTCAGGGACAGTTAATATTTTATTGTTAGAATATTTCACGTTGGTAAAATAACGTTGAAAAATTTGCGAAACAAGATATGTAATCACAAATTTTTGCTAGAAAAGACCAGCGCACGAGTCAGTATTCGTCGGTTATATTTATAAATCCGAAGATGTGTTTAATGGCAACTCGTATAAATGTTTCATAAGCTATACGTATTACATATAAACAAATGTCTTTAGTACATCGTATTTTTTTAATGTAAAAAAGATCTCTAACCTGATTAATGTGTGACGTGAAATGTCCGAATTTTCATCTATACAAACGCATGATTATTTTTGCAATTTCGGATATTGCGTTCTAATGGATGAAATTTAAATGAATCCGAAATCACAATGTACATATTTAAAAAGTCATTTTTTGAGTTATGGTGTTTTTTGAAGAGAAGCTGGGAGACATCTCTCATGCGCGATAAAAATAATAAATAAAATATAAACGCGAGTGAATTCCAGTATTGTGCAATGCATTCTAAGTCTACGTTTTTTTTTCTTTTTTACGTTGAAAGTGGCTTTTGACGCATGATATTTGGTGAGAAGACCTCGCACAGGAATCAGGATGGAATTCTGGTCAGGATGAGGACGCGCGAGATTGACGGCTGCATTAAAAGGGCGACAGGCGAAAGATCTGAAAAATCCAACGCGCAGATATTGCGGCGTTCTCGAGATGTCGTGTTTTTCTATCGTATTCCGCGAGAGACTTTGCTTTTCAAAAATTTGATTTGATTGCGCGAACGATAGTTTATCTTATTGTTAGATGTATGTCCAATTGTATGTCCGATATGGACGATTCCACGCTATTTCACCTAAAATTTTCATAAATTTTTTTCTATGTTTGCAGACATATGTCCAATAACAACCTCACGTATTCATAATGCACGTATATCTCGCAATATAGTACCAGCATTGACAGTTTTGACCCATTTTTTCCGCTTTATCAGAGGTTGCTAACCTAGCTTGAACGTAATATCCCTCAGGTTTTTCGTATTTCTTCAAAAAAAGCTATCTTGATGTCGAATCATTTGGCTATATATACACATATATATTATATAGTACATCGTGAGATGGTTAATTCATGGCAGCATTCCGCTCAATTTCTTGAGCTTTGACAACTCGAGCCTTATATACCTACTTACGAATGCATCTTCAATTTCAGTTGGTATACGTGATATTCTTCTCATTTTATATCAAAGATTTCTAGAAAATAATTTGTACATTATTTCTTTAATTATTTATATAGAAATAAAACAATTACATTATTATATTTGCTTTAGAATAAACACAAGAACTACATATTTAAGCTGTAATATCGTTATTACACTACCTCAATTAATTTTAATTCCAGCGGTATATAGAATCATTTTGATGTTTAGGTTGTTCACCCTTGTTCTACGTAAATGTATGCTTACGTAGCGTTTACTGTACAAAACAAAGTTTAACTAATCTGTGAAACTGTTTCATGTTTAGTTTGTTATACCCGAAGTTTGCTCGAAAATTAATTTCAATATGATTGAATATTTCAGTTATTTATAGCTTAATCTTAATGTAGATTAATTATATCTAGTTTTAACTGTTTCTTCTTTTTTTAATCAGCACATTCTTTGAAAAATTAGAAACAATAGACTTTAGCGTAAATTTAATATTATCTATTTGAGAGATAATATATTTCAAGATCAATTTTTAATTAACAAAAGAAGGGGCGATACTTACGTTTAATTATGCTTCAAAATTGACATTTGTATCGTTTATATCAAAATTTATACTATTTGTATCAAAATCATCTTTTTATTGCAACCTTAAAAGTTCAAAATTGCAGCGTCGTGTGCAACCGAAAATTGGCATCAATTAAATTGGCACATTCGGAAAATAGTCGAGTTCTTTTTCCAGAAGAGGAAGAAACCGAAAAAGAGAAAGAAAAGATGGCGGAGAGCTGGCAAAAGGAGAAAAGGGAAGATACGCGACTTAGTTCGTGAAAAGGTATCGACGTTTGCCACGATCTGTCGTGGATAATGCATCAGCTGTTAGAGAGAATGTCTCCGCCGTTTCTTTTTTTTTCCACTTGCGGAGAAATACTTCCCGTGTCGAGCATTGTACCGGATTACTGAAAACACAGCCTCAATTAAATTCTTAACCAATGCGTGAAAAAGAACACACTTCTTGACGAGGCTGTTAATGTTAATTTTAATTTTAATATATGGTCTGTTGCCCATGAAGATAGAAAGCTTCAATATTACATAAGAGGAATTAACATATAATATGTACGACTATAGAAATCAGCTATATCTACTCAGACTCTTAGAAATCTATAATCAGTAATAATTCTTTAGATATATTGAAATATATAACTTTTCTAAATTTGTGTCTAAAACACTACATTTTTTAGTGTTTAATAATTCCGTAAATTATTTCGTATAATCTTTTCAATATTTCTCGATAATTCATATTATATTTACTGTTATATTATCATTATTACATGAAATCGCAACGTGTGACTTAAAATTGTCCATCAAGACACAAGGGACCTTTACGTGCGCAATACAATGCAATTACGGTTTTTTTCTTTATTCCGTGTGTGTATCTCGCGCAAGTTAACTTCCGCAAACATGCGACCGTTCGTAAATTCACGGTCACGTTCCGCGCGTAAAATACGCTCTCGGCGCTTTCGGGTTTATACATCGAGTTTAGGGTTCGTCGGCACCTTAAGGCCGGGATAAAGCGGTCCTTTGAATGAAACTCCTCTCACTGGAAGATTTATACGCGCCGCGCTGGGAAAAATCGAGCAGATAAGATAAGATGGTGCAACTACGTGCCAAAGAACACCGGGATCTACTTTGCGTAGATTGTTGGCAAATTCGTACAAATACATGAGATAGCTTCATAACGCCGGGCGTTACGTACGACGCCATGTACACGTGCACGTATAATGAATTTATGGCGTATCAGTGCTTAGAAAGGCTCAATTTTTCGCGGAAACGCAATCTTCGTGCAATATATGCAAAGTTATGTAAAGGTAAAGATATTCTTTCATATCCCGTGTAACAGATATGTAATAGATGAAATATGATCAGGCTGCTTCATTACTTTATAGAAGAAATATTTAAAACGTGAAATGTAAAAATTTAATTACCAGTCGTTGCCCGTTTTGGAGACGTTCTGCCGCTTGCGTCCAGTTTGGTGAGGCTTTGGCTCGGCCACCATGTTCACATCTAAAAACACAACGGTTTATTGAATAAAAAATAATTAAAAAAACTACACAAAAATAAAATAGAAAGTGTCAAATGATTAATTAAATGTATTATATTAATTAATTGGACTTATATAAAGATATATTCATTTTTTATTAAGTACTACATTATAATTACAGATCTGTTAATATGATTTATTAGCTAATTAATTAACAAACTCAAGTCTATTTCAAGTTTATCTAAAATCTGATAAAATGCACAGCAAATATTGATTTTATCTTGGCTATATGGAAAAGATGTATGTAGATTAAGTTTTCGAAACCTCGTTACGCTCGTTTTCAGATATATTACGTGAAAAATTCACGGTTTATCCAGACATATCAGCGTTTACTTGAAAAATAAATGCGTCGCATAATAATGAGTGGCGCAGATTGTGAGTATCGACTCGCGGACACGACGCAGGGCTTGCGCCGGCGATAATAAACGCAAAGTGCGCTCTCATCGTTGCGCTGCACCGCTCCGCAGTCCGCCCGCGGCTTACGCGGATTAATAAAACGAAGATGGCCACGGCGAAGCGCGAAGTTTCCGCTCAGCGTTTCCGCAAACAGTTATTAATTTCGCTGCCTTTGAGCCAGCCCGTAGCGAGATTGATAATGAATGCGCCGCGACGTTGCGCGCGGCGGGCGATCAAGCGACAAGGATTTCGCATTCTTCTTCTTGTTTTCGTCGCGGCGGTAACTGAGACGGTCGGTCGCCGTATTCATCGTACAGAGTGATTCAAAAGTCGCGCAACAGGTGTGCAGGGATATTGATCCGCGCGCTGTTCTGCGCTGTGGCGGCTTACGATCGCGTACGTACGATAATTCCTCCGGACGTCAGCAACATGACAGATACGTAGATCAGAAGCCGCGAACTGTACGGAGTCATTAAGAGCTGCGAGAACAATCGCGCGCACTCTGTGACAAATGCAATTGCGTTTCCGCAAGAAAGATAAGGAATCAAGTTACAACTTGACTTGGACGATCGCATAACAAACGTCAAGGAGCCGCACGCAGCGAGGCGATACGTGATGGTACACTTCTGAAATCGAGGGTGTTTAGAGATATCGAGAGAGGAAGAAATATAGAATGCCAAAGAACGAAGATAGTGATACCTGCCGGAGGCAAGAAGATGGAACGGCAGAACCGATAAGGAAGTGTCAAGAGGAGGGAGGAGAAAAGGGTAAAAAGGAGGGAAGACAAGGAAAGTGGGGAAAAAAGCGATAGAACGAAGAAAAACTAATATAAAAGAAAAGAAACTAGTTCTTCACAATTCAATTGTCCTTCTATTCTGGCGATGAGATGGAAGAAGTGGGAAACAAATAAAAATAGAACAGACAATAGGAAATTAGGCGGATAGTGTTTAAAAAAATTAATATTGCGTAAAGAAGTGTATAAAAGAGATGATATATATACATATACATGCTTGATTTTAATATTAATTTCCTCTTATATATTAAGTCAACTAGAAAAACTAGATATAAAAATATTAAGCTGAACAATTAAAATAAGAACGCGCGAATAATATATTTCTTTTCGTTGAAATCGGAACTAGCAATTATTTTGGATAAAGTTTTAGAGCATAATCATAAATTCAGGAACACACCCTTTCCCCGCCACAAATCATTTCATCCCGAAAACATTTTCCATCACGCCCGCTACTCCTGCAAGACGTTTGCTCGTATCCGTGTCGCTAACTTCCGGACGTTCCGCAAACCGTTGAGGTCCTGTAGCAAACCCCTTCCACCATCCCTTCGCCATTCCAACCCCTTGGCAGAGGGGTAGTTTGTGGATGTTCCTTGTTAGAGTAGCGGGCTGATTCCGTTGTGTGCGCAGCGGTGCGCTTCGTCCTTTGTGTGAGCTAACCAAACACCCCCCTCCTCTCCGGCGCCACCGCCCTGTACCTTATCCTCATCCCCCTCATCCTTCTGCTCCTCCATTATCGCGGCTACTTGCGCAAATTGTTTACACGTCGGTCCGCGAGCATTTCATGAGGCCGTCCGAAAATTGATGATTTGGTAGATGTTTGTTGCACTTTGAGAAGGTGGAGGAGAAAGGGTTGATTTATTAGAGAAAGAGGAGCTAAGAGTATCTCACGAAGCCACTGAAGACGCTGAATAAGGTTGCTTGAAGAGCTAAAGCAAAGTCAATCTTCGGTTTCACGTTAAATACCGGTTTTATAAAGCTGCATTCTCATTTATTTTGTCTTTAAAAATTATAAATTTTGCTTCGGTGAAAATAAAATTGACTAAATGAGTTGGCCAATTGTCCGTAGAATACTCCAATCAATGAAATTCAGACCAACAGGAACTGCAGGCAGGAAGCGCAGATGTCTGTGTTGATATAATAATCACCTCGTGCATTTTTTGACAGTTTTATCAAGATATTGGTAATTCACGATATTTTCGTGCAGTATTTTTCAAGCCTGCGTCTTGCTTACGTGGTTTTTTGACAGTCAAGTGCCCAATAGATTGGCGTCTAAGAACGTGCAGACCTACCAAGAACCAGAAAATTCAAGTGCTTTCTTGCGTGAACGAAGTTTGAACTCGCTCTCTCGCCGTTTATAATGCAATGAAGCTGGTGCAATCGCTCGTCGCAGAACACTGCGGGCGATCGGCAAGCGCGCCAATCGCTTTCGCCAATTGTTTTTCTTGATTTAATTTCCCGCGGATCGAAATGCCCACGCGGATTGATTTATTGGTAATCCACTTCTACGCGCGGCGGAAGAGAAAATCCGGGCGTCAAGGGGTTAAATGCAGCGCGGCGGAACGAAACTCCCGACATTCGCCACCGCGACGCAGCTAATCGTTGCGGGCGTCGGCGTCGCCGCGAAGTTTAGTCGATACGCGGGTGTATGCGGATGCAGTAACGCGCGCGAGAGCAAGAGAGAGGGGGGAAAGAGAGAGAGAGAGAGCAGTGACACAGAGAACGAGAAAGAGAGACACGGTGAGAGAACGGCAGAGAAGGAGAGAGAGAGAGAGAGAGAGACAGACAGAGGAAGTCGAGTATCGATGTCATCTCCAGCACGCGGTTGAAGGGTGATTCCTATATCGCGTTGTGAATTGTTCCTCGAACTAACCGCCCGGCGGTTGAGCGAGCGACAGCGAATGCGAGAGCGAGAACGAACGCGGCGCGGGCGAGAGCGAGCGCGAGCGCGAGCGCGAGCGCGAGCGAAGCTGAGCGGAGTCTGTAACAGGCAGCGACGCTAATGGAATATGACAACGCGAGGCGAATAATAATCGGCCGTTTCTCCGTCGCCGAACTTCGTAATAAAACGAGCATTGTCTGTGACGTTTCGTCGCCGACAGCGTCGCGACGTCACGGCGGACATCGCCCCGCCGCTCGCGGATTTTTCGCGGTGTTTTCACGTGCGCGTTCGTATTAATGATCCGTTAGCGTTAATGCACTCAATAACGATGTAACCCATTTGCGGTGGATCGTTCTACGAATTTTGTAATGTTCTACGAATGATGTAAAGTAGATTTTTCCTAAGAATAATCGGACTTTATTTTACTTTACGACTTTTAAGCACGCGGACACGTATTTTTGAACAATTTAGTAAGTATATATACGTAATATAATATCGGAACAAAATTTATCTGTCTGAAAATTTATATGTTTTTATCTGAAAAGCAAAAAGAACTAATTATAGTAGTGCGTATAATTTTTAATAAGGCGTTTTAGCAACCTTTAAAAAACTTGGCCATCTTATGGCGAATTTAGATTGAATTTTATGAAAATAATATGCGATTTAAATAAATAATTAATTTAAATTTTAGATGCATAAATTATACAATTTATATCCTTATCGAATTTCAAGTATTTAATTTTAAGCAGATTTTGCTTCAACAGATCAACAATTTAAGAATTAATGCTGCAGAGAAATTTCATATTAAAAATGTAAACCTTACGACAGATAAAATCATTCTTGACATTAATCAGGAGAACATAAACTATATAAGAATACATCGCAGAAGCCATGGCACAGTTTACTTGAAGAAAAAGCGAGATATTTTATTATAAATTGGAATACCTTTCTATTATTTTCAAATTAAAATCTTAATATTCTACTATTTTTCTACATATTGCAATCTATATAAATTAATTATTTGCTACAATTTGTAATGCATATATTAATTACAAACATACATATGTTGAATTAACTTGTACAATTTGTGCTACTTTGTAATATATAATGAATTTTATCGTAATAATAATTTATATTATAACTATTTTTTAAATAGAATCTGCATTGAGCAGAAAGAAAAATAACTCCTCATTTAATTTACAAAATAATTAAACACTCAAATGCACAGGAGTGCAATAAATTAAAATATTCGTCTACAGGTTTAAAGAATGCTGGGTATTTATTTAATTAGATGGAAATTTGTTTACCATTCAGATATTTATAAAAAATATTGTATTTTATATTAAATTATAACCAAAGGAGTTAATTTAATAATTTGGTTTGTTATTGCGACAACGATTATTTTATTATTCAGTAATGTCAAGAATAATTGATAGACTGTGAAAATCGCTGATAATATGGCCTATTAATTTTATAACCGCGAGCCGTTAATCACAAGGGATGCCAAATTGTTAATTCATCAATTTATTTATGATCTTGCAGATCGAGTAATTAATGTTGCACGTGGGCTTGACCGGGCATATTTCGATATTCAATCGTATCGGAACGATAATTTTATTATGGAATTTACACAAGGCCGATAAATCTCGCAAAATACCTAACCGCGTAGCAATATCTAAACTACATTTATATTAACCCTCCGTCTGTATACGTGGGTCTACGGCGAGCCAAAATGGTATCTGCTCGTAATTGTAAAACTTGCGAGTCTGCCAGAAAACGTTAAATAAACGATGATTATCAAAATGACTATAAAATCGTCAACTACAATGTAGACAGATGTCACATAAATTTTTTCAGATTTTTCTAAATACTTTAAGGTAAAGGAAAATAGTCAA